GGCGCCGCAGGAAGTCATCGGGCATGTCGAGGTCATTGACCGCGCTGCTGGTGGCCTAGGCGAGGAAACCGCGGGGCCGAGGCTGCCCAGGTAACGCGCCGCCCTTCGAGGCGGCGCCGCCTGGCCCGCCGAGCGCCGCGAACGCGTCTGGCCCCGGTGACCTTCCAGGAGCGGCCGAGCATGAGAGGGCCGAGAGTCTCGCCGGCGAAATCGGTCACAGCTCGCCAGAGGGCAGAGAGGCTCGAATGCGTTCTCGCGGGGTTGCCAGCTGTGATTTTGCGACGACGCCCCGCGGGCACCCCCGCGGCCGCCCTAACCGCGGCCGCCATTGCATGAGGCCGCCAGCGGAGACCCGGAAACTAACTGGGGCAGTCAGGAGGCGGCAGAATGATCGCATCAGGGGTTGGGCCAATGTGCCTGGAAGCCAGGGGCGAGATTGCATGGACATGGTGGCCGCGTGGCTTGGGGTGCTGTGGCCAGTGAGCCTTGACATGCACTGGCTCGACGATCCATGCGACCTTGGATTTTTTCCCAACCCTCCTATGGTTGGGTGCTCGTTTTGACTAGAGCAGTGTGGTCGTCCCGGCCTCCTTCTTCTCCTCCCCCCTCCTCCCCTCCTCCTCTCCTGTCTCCTGTGTTCCCCTCTCCTCTTCTCTCGTGCCGTCGGGCTGCGATCTGCGCCACTGTCGCCACTTTCGTGGGCTCCTGGGAGGCCCAGCGGAGGTGGGTCCCACGCGGACCACCTCGAGACCTCGCGGTGCCCTGGGGGGTGCGATCTGCGCAACCGTCGCCACTTTCGTGGGCTCCTGGGAGGCCCAGCGGAGGTGGGTCCCACGCGGACCACCTCGAGACCTCGCGGTGCCCTGGGGGCTGCGATCCGCGCAACTGTCGTCACTTTCGTGGGCTCCTGGGAGGCCCAGCGGAGGTGGGTCCCACGCGGACCACCTCGAGACCTCGCGGTGCCCTGGAGGCTGCGATCTGCGCAACTGTCGCCACTTTCGTGGGCTCCTGGGAGGCCCAGCGGAGGTGGGTCCCACGCGGACCACCTCGAGACCTCGCGGTGCCCTGGGGGGTGCGATCTGCGCAACCGTCGCCACTTTCGTGGGCTCCTGGGAGGCCCAGGTCCCACGCGGACCACCTCGAGACCTCGCGGTGCCCTGGGGGCTGCGATCTGCTCAATTGTCGCCACTTTCGTGGGCTCCTGGGAGGCCCAGCGGAGGTGGGTCCCACGCGGACCACCTCGAGACCTCGCGGTTCCCTGGGGGCTGCGATCTGCGCAATTGTCGCCATTTTCGTGGGCTCTTGGGAAGCCCAGCTGAGGTACGTCTTACGCATTGCCGCTGCTCTTCGTGCTGCGCTCTTCTGATTTCACTGCTCGGTGCTCTTCTTCCGCACTGCGGGTTTTTCAGCATGCCCGTCAGCATTGAGTGGTCCTGAGTGTAATCACTACATGTATAGCAAGGGTTGTGTACGTCGCGGGGTAATTTCAAACGGGCGCTGTTGCAGGTCGGTCCGTAGCCCGTGAGCTGGCGCATGAGTTCAGCAATTTTGGCGACGAAATGGCAGTGAATTGCAATTGCTTCGTCGCCATCGCCCAGAGTCCGTGAAGCCCAGCTGGTGAAGCCACTTGATTTTACCTGGTATCGCGCGGGGCTGTCTGTCACCGTGTGCAGGCGCGAGTCATTTAAGCAGATGTATAATAGGAGGGGTGATCATTGGCATCACTTCTGTCCCCATTAACCTGGGCGTGCGCCTGGAGGGGAAGATCCTTTGGCAGGCCCAAATCCCTCTGAGCGATTCCCGCCTGTGGGCCATGAACCAGTCTCGGGTCGTCAACCCTCGTTCAGGGACGGAGTGCAAGCGCGAGCGGGAGTCGTGACCTGAGGTGGGCCGCGCCCTTCCTCGGGCACCTCGACGCCACCAATTGGAAGGCCATCGGCAGGTTTCACGAGATTGACGACCAGTCCGCCAGGAAGAAGCGCAGGATTGTCAATGACGAGAGCATCGGTGCTAAATACGATAGCGATGAGGGGTCTGATGCCTGGCGTGACGATCGCTGTGTGGAGCATGATGCGCGGGACGCATGTGCACCCTGGTGCCTAAACCCGAGGAGGTGCTCGCGCGCACGGATGCGCACAATGGCCAGGGCAAGGACACACGGCCGAGGTCAACAGTCGTCAGGCTTAGGTGGCCACGCGGGACATATTATCTACTGGCTTCACTTAACCTCTTCCATCTCCAAGGTATAAAGTGGACGTGTGCGACCTAGCAGCTGCGGCACATCAAACAATTGCGCGGGCATCCCACCATCCAGCTCGTCACCTTTTTGCGCTGCGTTGTCATGTACGCCATGCACGATGCCTAAGTTAGTCCTTGTCGCTCGCGGAGTGTGCTCTGTGCGCTGCGCGCACTAATCTCACTCGTTGTCATTATCTGCGTGCCAGTACTTTAACGCAGTCGGGTTAGCTCCACCTTTCACCTGTGACAGGCAATGTTCTACAACATTGTGGGTTACCCGACCTGGAGCATCAGGTGGAGGGGGGGGCTTCAATGTCGGACCCCCAGGTTGGTGTGCAACTGCCTGCGTTTGGCTCAGGTTTATAACCGCCTGGTGGCGGTGCAGGACGTGATCACTGGCCCGTCTCTTCCGCTCGATTCTCTCATGTCCGCCTTTCTGTTACATTTGCAGGACTTTTCGGAGGACAGGGTGCATGGGGAGGCAGAGATCAGCGGCATTGGTGGCGGCATGGATGATGAGGATGGAGAGGAGGGGAGAGGAGACCGAGGACGATGCGCATGTGGGTATGGTGGTTGTGATGGTGAGGATGAGGCTGATGCTGATGCTGGTAATGATGCTGATGCTGATGCTGCTGTGGTTGATGATGATGATTAAGATAATGATAGTGGTAATGAGTATGACGTTGCTTCTGATTGTGATTGTGCTGATGCTGATGGTGATGCTTGTACTGATGATGGTGATGATGCTGATGCTACTGATGTTTATGATGACGCTCATGATGCTGATGCTGCTGCTGATGCTGCTGATGCTGCTGATGATGATGATGCTGGTGATGCTGATGATAACGATCATGGTGCTGGTCATGAGGATGGTTTGGATAATGGTGGTGGTCATGATGTGGATACGCTGGTGACGACGTGCGCGAACATGAATATGCTGATGCTGCTGTTGCTGATGAGGATGCGGACGATGATGGGCAGGTGGAGGAGGATTTGGAGGAGGAGGAGGAGGAAGAGGAGGAGTAGGAGGAAGAGGAGGAGGAGGAAGAGGAGGAGGACGAGGTAGAGGAACACGAGGATAACGGCGACGAGGTGAGAGGAAAAGCATGAAGAGAAGGCGGAGGAGGCGGAGGAAATTGCCGCGAAGGAGGAGGAGGACGAGGAGGAGGAAGAGGAGGAGGAGGAGGAAGAGGGGGAACGACGATCCGACGAGGACGAGGAGCAGGAGGGTGAGGAGGGAGGAAAAATGAGGGCGATTTCAAATGGACGGGGAGGATAACAGGAAACTGGAGAACGAGGAACAGGTTGAGGAACAGGAGGTGGAGCAGGAGCTGGGCTGGGAGCAGGAGGTAGAGCAGGAGGTAAAGCCGTAAGGGGGGGGGCATATTCGCAGAGTAGGAAAATGGTTCGCCCAGGGAGTGACGCATTCGGGCGAGGGCAGGGGACCACTGCTGCAGCTGCTGACGTGGATTTTGTCTGATAGGGTGAGCCTAGGTCTTGCGCACATCGTTTTTCGCTCCGCCCCAATGCTGATGTAGCCTTTTACAGTTGTTTGGTGGCATCCACTGTACGTCGCTGGATCCAGGACAAAGGACGACGAGGAGAACGAGGGGGGCAGCAGATGATGCTACCCTCGTCTCTGTGATGGGGCGTTCCTCTGCCTCCCATTGCGCAACCTGCTCGGCGAATCCCGGAAGGGACCCAAAGCAGGTCGCGTTGAGCAGGCTGCGAAAATCTGCTGCACGGCGAGGTTTGGCCTGAGAAGGAAGCTGCACAAGGCGACATGGTGGCTGCGGTGGGCTCTGGCTGCGCTGGTCGCGGCGTGCGGTTTGTCCCTCCCTTCCCGTCCCATGATGATCCCGGCCCCTTTGCCCGTTCCACAAGAGTAGGGGGGGTGAAGGTTAGAGAGGTGGGAAGGAAGCGGGTATAATCGTGTGAGTGAGCGGGCCAGGCAGGGCGCTCCCCGTCCGCCGACTCGGGTGGAGCGGCAACGCCAGCCCCAGCGCTCGCCACTGCCGCTGCGCGACAGGCGGGTCCGCAGCGCCAGGCTGCGCAGCCGCCGCTTGACGCGCCCACAGAGCCCAGGTCGCTCCCTAGCGGAGTCGGCGCGCGTCGCCCTGACCGAGGGGTCGCCGACTGCCGAGCGCGGCCTGCGGCGGCCTCACCCCCGACAGGCAGCCCGGCAGGCGCAGTGGTCGGCGACGCCGCACCGGCACCTCCACGTGGGCGTCCAGGGGCCCGTCGGCCCCGCGGCCGCCGCAGCGGCAGGCCGCCGCCGCCGCCGCCCCGAGCTCGCCGCCCGCCGGCGGCCCGGCAGCCGACGTGGCCAGCTCCGCAGGGGCCCTCTGGAGCGCGGCCCTGCCATGGCTGCGGGAGGGCGCTGCCCGCGGGCTGCCGCGCCGACCCCATCTGCGCCGGCGAAGCGCCTCCTCCGCAGGGCGCCCGCGGCACCCGCGCGCGCCCCTGCGCGCAGCGGTGCACGGGCGACAGCACAGCAGCGCCACACGCCAGTGCCAAGCCGCGCGCGCGGATTGCCCAAGGCGCGATGGCCTGATGCGGACGCCGAGGCAGCTCGAGCCTGGGGCCTCGAGCATTGAGCCGAAGAGTCTCGAGCCCTACCAGCAGTGTGACGAGGAGGAGCTGTTCCAATGAAGAGTGATGGGGCAGGAAGCCCACGCGGGCAGGACGGAAGAGGAGGTCAGGAGGGGGATGGAGGGGCTGGGCAGGGATGAATGAAGCTGAGGGGGAGGGCTTCCCCGAAGGCTGCGCGGCAGGCGCGCCCAGTGGGCGCGCCCGTCGACGCTTACGTGTCGCTCGCCAAGAAGCATCACGGTGCGCGCCTCCTCCTTGAGTGCTGGCAGGTGGAGGATAGGACTTCGGGCGGATTGATTTTCTCAATGCTGGCGTTTTTCCAGTGCCTCGGAATCTGTGGGCCGTCTTCAAGCCCCAGGACATTCAAATAATTACGGATCCATGACGAAAGAGTGCCCCTGGGGAAGTGGTCGAGACGCTTGGGGCCCGCGGATTGACAAGATAAATCCATCGGATATCTCGGAGGATGGGGAGGGGCAGGTGGAGAAGGACAGATAGAAAGAGAGAGAGAGAGAGAGAGAGAGTGGATGGTCTGGATGAGACTGCTGAGGCGGAGGAGGGTAAGGAGGAGGGAGTGGGAAGGTGAATATGAAGGAAGAGGGTGCAGGGTAGGGAGGATGAGCATGCGAACGAGGATGGGAAGGGTTTGGAGGTGGAGGGTCAGTGTGATTTGGGTAGTGATGAAGATGATGAAGATGAATGTGATGATTTTGATGGTGGGTATGATGCTGATGATGATGCTGCTGATGATGATGGTCATGACGATGACAATGACGATGATGCTGCTGCTGATGATGATGATGGCGATGCCGAACATGATGATGATGATGATGATGATGCTGATGATTTCGATGATGATGATGATACTTATGATGCTGATTATGATGATAGTGGTGATGATGACGATGATGTTGATGATGATGCTGTTGATGATGATGCAAGTGATGATGACGATGGCGATGACGATGATTGTGCTGATTATGATGCTACTGATGACGATTATGATGATGCTGATGCTGATGCTGATGCTGATGCTGATTTCGAGGATGATGCTGCTGCTGATGTTGATGATGGCGATGATGCTGCTGCTGATGATGCTGCTGACGATGACGATGACGATCACCACGATGATGACGCTGATGCTGCTGGTGCTGATGTTGCGGCTGATGCTGATGATGATGATGATGATGACGATGACGACGACGATGACGATGCTGATGATTATATTGATGATGATGGTGATGGTGATGATGATGGTGATGATGCTGCTGATGCTGATGATGACGGTGACGATGGTGATGATGGTGATGATGATAGTGCTGCTGCTAATTATGATGATGACTGTTACGATTGCGATGATGATGATTATGATGCTTACGATGATGATGTTCATAATGATGATGATGATGATGATGATGATGATGATGATGCTGATGATGATGATGATGATGATGATGCTGATGATGATGATGATGATGATGATGATGATGCTGATGATGATGATGATGATGATCATGATGATGATGATGGTGGTGGTGGTGATGATGCTGATGAACATGGTGATGATGTCGACGTTGATGTCGATGATGATTAGGATGAGGAGGAGCGTGGGCGGTCATGGGGGATTATGATCGAATTGAGAAGCCGGAGAGCTTCGGTTTGGCTTCGTTTGCGTGGTGAGAGGGTATAGGCAGGTATGATATTCGAGTCCACATGCGTACGTGTTTCGGTACCCAATGGGGATTTCATTCGACTTCCTTCGCTTGAGTGCCACAAGGAGGGGTCATAGCTGTTTTGGGTCAAGACCCACACTGCTCCATTTTCTTCATCACTCAAAACTACTGTTTTCCCCCTTTCCCATTCTCTCATATCCTTGCTGCCCAGACTGTAGCTGGAGCCACATGTCAGCGACTTGATTGTAACGTGTTGGCCGCTGGCAAAAGGTTTTCTCGACATCTTCATTCCCATCGCTGTCGCCTTCGGGCGACAGTGATAGCGGATCTGGGAGCAGCTTTGTTTCTACGGACCGATGGCGGCAGCAGCGGGAGAAGTTGATAAGCCAGAGCCGCCCCCAGCACCAGGAGGTGATCAATCCTAGATGACAGCTGTGGTGGCAGCTCTGATGCAGCAGGAGGATTTTTTCAGTACCCGAGGGCAACGCTGATAACCTGGTCCGCAGTATCGTGAACGCCACCCTGAGGACAGAGACGATGCGGGACGCCCAGCGGAGTTCGGCGGTCGAGTCCAGCATACAGAGGACAAAGGTGGCTCAGTCGGTTCTGCAGAGCCCGCCACCTCTCGTCGGTCATTGGAAGTCATGGTGGAACGGGACATGGCCAGGATCTCGGACGACAGGAACCGGAGCAGGTCCCAGCCTCGGTGCAGGCGCGCTGGGGGCTGAGGCGCTCCAGGGCTGGTCGCAGCGGTGGCAGATTAGGCACCTGGAATGAAGCAGGAACGACCCGTGGCGAGCGCTATGACTACGGACGCGCTCCACGGGTGCCACCCTCAGCGTCTTGTTCGCTGACGGCCGCCTTGGGCGACACTTCCAGCGGGGAGTGAAACCATCAGGACTAATACCAGGACGAGTGGTTCGAACAATCTATATCATGTAGCCTGGAGTCCACCTGGAATGCCCCGATCACGAAGCAGCAGAGATGAGGGCTCAATCGTGACCAGCGCTACCTTGAGCGGGATGGTGATCGTGAGGGTTCCGGCAAGGATTTCGCATATCCAGAAGTGTTGACCAGGTGGGCGGACTACCGCATATGATGTCGTAAGGTACTTCGTTGGCGTATCTAGATCGACGTACCAGGATGGAAGCAAACATCTCGTCTTTTTCACTCGGTCGATCAGGATTGACAACGTAAGTTGGAGGGCATCGACGATGGCGCGCTGACGGGACCTCGAGGCTTCGACGCGATTTTTCGTCTCGACTTCATGTCGGGGAGAGACACTGCGATGAGAGACGCAATAGCGGCTAGGTAATGTTTTCTGGATTGCGCTCGCAGGCAAGGCGAGGGAGTCGCCGAGCACCGCGCGAGGCCTAGCTTCAGTTTCGACAAGAGAAGGACCTGGCGCTGCCCGACGAGTGGAAAGTCATTTGCTTGGAAGGGCGGTCTTCGTTGGGCGAGAGGTCGGCGCAGCTGGCACAAGACCTTATGAAGGACCAGAGGACGCACTTGGCAGCAGTTCCAGCGATTCGAGAGATGGACATCATTCATCTTGAGCAGTTACGAGCTCGTGGCAAGTCTTTTGCCAACATGGACCCACGAGGTGCAGTGGGCACTGCAGTTCACGCGCCTTTAGTTCCCACCTGGCAGGTCGATGGTGACGGCGAAGCTCTGGCGGATGATTCTGACATTTCACCTCTTGGCACCAACGGGGAGGCACATATGTTGGCACTTGTATGGTCGGCAGGCGTCGGCGATGACGATGCCCTTAATCAGGGTCGTCGCAAGACTTGGACGACACATAACCGTGATGTGAAGGGACAGCTCGAGGTTGACCGAACATGTCATGATCGGTCCGGGGCAGCTTGTGGTAGTGATGGTCGCGAGAAATCTCGCGAACACGGGCGGTGCGTTTCGACCTCGCGGCAATCGTCTTTCTTTGTCTGAGCTCATCAGGCGTACTTGCTGCAGGTTGTGCCATCAGAGGCGCCATGGATCGCGGGAGTGCCCGCTCAAGACAGCCTAGAATTCTTGCGGAAAGAACGCAGAAAGAGGGCCCAACTGTCCAGGCTTGACCATTCTGTGCATAAGCGCCCTAGATGGATCTCGCTCCTCTTCGTTGAACGGCCCGCCTTCGTCCGCCTGTGCTGTAGTTTTGCTCGCCGTGGGCCCCGCGGCAATGGTGGTGGGCGCAGCTGCCAGGTAGGGCCTTGGAGGACTGCCAGCTTCGCAGCCCATTGAAGATCACTAGGCCTCGAAGGCCACGCCGCTCCTAAGGTCTCTCCCAGGAACTCCACGGCGCGAAGAGCAATTGGGAGGCTGAATTTCTGTCTCGCTCTTCTCCGCGACGTTGTGGCGGCAACGAACCGCTCCGTGGATGTAAAGAATTAACGCGAAACCCATCCGTAACATTGAATTCCGCCATTCAAAGATATGGAACGCAAACTAAGCATGAACGGCCCCAGGTTGACAAAAGTGCTTCCGTGTTTCGCGTTTATTGTTTACATTTTTCGCGGGCAGCTTCCGATCTTGCCCTACCTGGAACTCGCGGCCTTTGAATGGCGAAATCCCATGTTATGAATAATGTTCGCGTTAATTGTTTACATCCACGGTATCTCCGGAGGGTGGATATGCGCCGTTCCAGCTCATGCGTGGAGTCTCTCCCAGATTACTGAATGACATGCTATCAGACGAGGGCTTGCGCCGAGCGCGGCGGTTGGGGGGGGCGGTCGGTCCAAACGGCTTGGGGTCAAGACGCGGCCGCCGCCCATTTTGCTCGACTGAGCGCCATTCGGGCTTTTGCGCGTGAGGAACTGTTTCGCTTGTGAAGTAAGCCGAAGCTCGCGGTGGCCAGCAAAGGCAATATGCACCGCGATGCGAGGGTCTACCCGGGTCAGCGGGTGCTCGTCTGGAGGAGGGCCCCTGCCCCTGGGGAGAAGACGCGTGTCCTTCAGCGTGATCGGCGGGTTGGCCCTGGTCTCGTTCTGTCGCAATCCGGTGGGGCCGTTGCGGCAGCCGTGACAAGTGGAGTTAGGGAGCGCTTGTCCGAGTAAGCAAGGCTGGATACTTCTCCCGAAGCCCGGGGGGCCGAGGCTATGTCCGGCCTTGGGGTCCCAGCCCCTGCGGGGGGCCCCCGTGGGCTGCGCCGGAGCAGGGGTCGACGTCGCTGCCGAAGGCTCCCCGCCGCGAGAGGCTCGGGGGCCGAGTCGCAGTGTCGAGGTCGATCCCTCTCCAGTCGCTCAGGCCCCTCTTGCTCGCCCTGCTCCGTCGTTCTAGAGGTCCGAGGAGGGGCGCAAAGAGGCCCGTTCCACCGCCCGGGCTGCCTCCGACCACCTGAGGAGCAGGCCGTTGTCCCAGTCGCGTCTTTACCGTCGACCGCGCCGACGACGGCGGCGAGCCGCCCGCCGCCGGCGACGGTGACCACCACGACCTCGATGGCGGCAGCGCCGACAGGGGACGACGCCGACCACCACCATCACCACGACGGCGGCGACGGCGGCGGCCAGGAGGGCCGGCAGCGGCGGGGCGACGTCGTGTGGTCACCACCCCGTCGTGTGGGGAGGAGGAGGAGGCGGAGGAGGAGGAGGAGGAGGAAGAGGAGGAGGAGGAGGAGACGGAGGCGGCGGAGGAAGAGGAGGAGGAGGAGGAGGAAGAGGAGGAGGAGAAGGAGACAGAGGCGGAGGAGGAAGAGGAGGAGGAGGAGGCGGAGGAGGAGGCGGGGGCGGAGGAGGAGGAGGAGGAGGAAGAGGAGGAGAGGAGGAGGAGGAGGAGGAGGAGGAGGAGGAGGAGGAGGAGGAGGAGGAGGAGGAGGAGGAGGAGGAGGAGAGGAGGAGGAGGAGTAGGGAGGAGGAGGAGGAGGAGAGAGGAGGAGGAGGAGGAGGAGGAGGAGGAGGAGGAGGCGGAGGAGGCGGAGTCGGAGGTGGAGGAGGAGGAGGAGGAGGAGGAGGAGGAGGAGGAGGCAGGAGGAGGCGGAGGAGGAGGATGAGGAGGAGGAGGCTCCATGCCACCAGGCGTGGGCGTGGAGGTGATCGACCTTGGGGGCGCCAGCGCCAAGCGCAACAACTCCTGCATGTTCCTCACGTGCTCGGCGGCCCTCGCCGACCGCAGAGCCAAGGCACCTCGGGAGCACCGCGGCCCTCCCCTCGGGCGCCAGGAGAGTGCACATCGAGACGCGTCGACGGGGAACATCTGCGCTGGTCTTTTTCCTCCTCCTCGTCCTCCTCCTCCTCCTCCTGCCTTCTCCTCCTCCTCCTCCTCCTCCTCCTCCTCCTCCTCCTCCTCATCCTCATCCTCATCCTCATCCTCATCCTCATCCTCATCCTCATCCTCATCCTCCCCCTCCTCTCCGTAGCCATTTTGGCTCAAGCGGTTGCATGGCCTTGCCCGCGCGCGCCCCCTCCTCGGCGAGGCGCGGTTGCTGAATGTCGGGGCCTAGAGGGGTTCCCTCGGCCCAGCTCGACGCCTCCCTGGTCGAGGCCGCCGTCCGGGCCGCGGTCGCCGCCGGGGCGCCGCGGCGCACTGTCGCCGCCGTCGGGCGATCGGCTATGTCCGCCACGCTTTTTGCGTGCGGCCGCGCGTGACGCTGCTGCTGCCCCTGATGCTCGCGCGCCTCCTGCTGCACCGCCTGCCGCCTCCGCGGCCAAGGCGGAGCGGCGGAGGCGCAGACGCCGCCCCCTCGCGGAGCGGCGTGCCGCGGAGGCGCTCCCTACTGCTGGCGCGGCGGTCGAGGGCGCCGCAGTCGTGACGGGTCCGGCTGCTGCTGCTGGAGCGGGCCTTCGGCCTGTTCGAGCCGCCGTGGAGGCCGCTGACGACATCGCGATGTTCGAAGACGCCTGGGCCGACGGCCTGGTACGGCCTTCGCCACCCGCTGCGGCGGAGCAGCCTGCTGCTGCTGCCGCCGCTTCGGGCGGGCCGCCGCCCTCGCCTGCTGCTGCCGCGGGCTCGCAGGTCGAGGACGTCGTGGCCCCGTCCTCGCCCCTGCAGGACGACAGCTGGGCCGACCTGCTCCCCGCACACCGCGCGGCGCCCGCCGTGGAGGCGGTGCACCTTGCCGCGGCGGTTCCTGGTGGAGCTGCTGGTGCTGGGGCTGCCGCTGGTGCCCCCGTCTCGCGGACGACGTGCAGGAGGAGGAGTGGCGGCGGGCGCTGCGCGCGCGGGCGGCGGCGATCATCCGAGGCGCAGGGTGATCGTCGTTCTTCTCACTGCCCAGTGGTGTCCTCGCCCCCTGTCGCACGGCCGTGGGGTGATGTCTCCCTTGCGGTGACTGTTGCTCAGGGGGCCGCCAACCTTTCTGTACAGGTTGCGCGGCAGGCACGGGGGAGGAATTGCCCTCCCCGACCGTATGCCCTGCTGAGGCGCTGGACTGTTTTTTCTCTTGCGCTGGCCACGGGGCGGTCGCCCGCCGTGTGGCCAGTGCCTCCTAGCGCATGGGGCTGCTGGAGGTACTCTTTCGGTCAGTGAGGTCTCTCTCACTGCCAGCAGTGGTTTCCCAGCCGCCGCTGCTGTGTACTTTTTCTCCAAGGCTGTGCGGGCGTTGAGCTCAAATCCTCTCCTCCTTCTCCGCCTCCTCCTCCTCCTCCTCCTCCTCCCCGCTTCCTCCTCCTCCTCCTTCTCCTCGCGTCCTCCGTCCATCCCCTCTAGTTCCGATGGCGCGTCTCCACGTGCCAGAGGCGGGCACCTCAATCCTCGGGCCCACTCGCGTTGTGAAAAAACAAATCATGACGGTCGTTGTTTTTGTTTCCCTCCCCCGGCTTCTCGGGGCCCTCACAGGGCTTCGGAACTGTCAAGAAACGACTCAGGATGAAAAGCCGTTTCCAGGGAATGGGTCTAGACCTCTGGGGGGCGACGTTCGAACAAATCATGACGTCGGGGACCTGGGTCTACCGCGCGCCGACGATCTGCCCAGGGTTCCCCCCCGCCAGCTTCGTCGTGACCAGTGTCGAGAGCTTGAGCGGCTTGGACACCTCCCGGAGGCTCAAGGGCGTGGTATGCCGCGGCGGGTTCAGCACTTCTTACGCCCAAGACCACGCCACGCTGGCTACGACCACGCCGGCATCGGAGGCGTGGCAGGAAGCGCCTTCTAGCTCAACCCAGGGTATCTTGTTGGGCTGTACAGGTAGCCGGAGCAGCGCCTGATCCCGCAGTACCTTGCAATACCCTTCCTGCGCCCACAGCCGAGGACGTCGGCGCCATCGCGCGATTGGGATCGCCCTTTTGGGGGGCTGCGGATGTCTTATTTTTCGTGGACAGCAAATACAGGTTGATGGGTGGAAGTGTGCGTTGCAGGTCTTCCCGAACACAGTTCCGTTTAAGCGGCTTGCCGCTCCATGACTCGATGGTTTCCGACCTTCGCCGCCAATCATTTGGGCGGGCGGGGACCGTTCGACCAATCTTTTCTGACCGTCTTCGTATGTCATGCCTGCTGCGCGTAAGGTTGGCCCTTCGCCAGAGTGGTCTGTGTTGCACGGCTGTCGGTAAGCGTGGGGGGTCACGCCCAGGCACGCACGCTGCGATCGGCAATCGTCGCACCAGAGGTTTCTCTTGTCCGGGGTCGCTCGTGCATGTGGCCGGCATGTGTCTGCCAACTTCGTCCGCACGGCATGTGCCTGCACGTATACACACATACATACGTACGTACATGCATACATGCATGCATACATACAAACATACATACATACATACATACATACATACATACATACATTCCTACATGTATATACACATATCTACAAACATACGCACACGTACATGCATGCATGCACACATACGCGCATACATACATACATACATACATACATACATACATACATCCATCCATACATACATACATACATACATACATACATACATACATACATACATACGCTCACGCATACATACATACGTACGTACATACATATATGCAAACACACATACACATACACACATGTATGCACACGTGTATATCTTTATGTATTCACTCATAGGGGTCCCGGGCACCCCACAGTGCACTGATTAATCTTCCGGCCGTTTCGGACTCTGCGGGGGGCGCCAAAAAACGTCAAAGGGGGCTGAGAGACGTCCAAGAGGGCGTCACGATGGCCCAGGAGCGCTCGAAGAGAGCCTAAGACCGCACAAGAGCGTTTCAAAATTGGTCCAACCTGGCTTAAAGATAGACCAACAGGGCTTCAAGACCGCCAAGATGCTTTCAAAAGGACTCCCACGAGGCACTCAGGTTTTGAGGGTTCTTCTAGGCTTCTAGGGTTTTTGAAGGTTTTTCGTGTTCTCGATGTTTCGTTCGTCCGACGGTCCAAGACAGCCCACGAGGCCCCATAAATCAGTTCAACACGGCCCAAGAGCCAAGAGGCACACAAAGAGGGTGCCACGACGGCGCACGAGAGCCCCAAGCCGGCCCACGAGCGCCCCAGGACGGCCCACGAGGCGCCCAAGATCGCCCAAGAGGGTCCCAAGACGGCCCCAAGATCGCCCAAGAGGGGGAACATGAACCGACAGTTCGAGCCTTCCGCCCCAAGAGGCCTCCAGGAGGCCCCCAGAGGCCCCGAACAGAGCCTAAGAGGCCCCCCTGAGGCCCCCTAGAGGCCCCACGAGGCCCCAAGGAGGCTCAAAAAGAGGCCCCAAGAGCACCCCAAACGGCCCCCCAGAGGCCTCCAAAATTTACCGGTGCATAGCAAAGGACCGCCTAGCCTAGCATAGCATCGCAGCGTTGCATGACATGACATGACATGGCACGGCACAGCATGACAGAGCTGACAGTGTCAGTGCATATCACAGTACGGTTCAGCATGCCATAGCATTGCATTCCATAGCAGTGTCTAGCTGAGCCTAGCACTGCACGTCACGACGTAACACTGCCTAGCATGGTATTGCATCTGGTGACGCATCGTGGCGTGCTATGGCATCACAGTGCACATACATTAATCGAACAGCACCGTACTGCTCTGCGCAACAGTAAACAGAAGCCACGCAAATATCGCACCTCCGTTGTTGCTTTTACTGCCGTCCTGCTTATCTTAGCCTGGCAGCTCATAACATGACATAGCATTTCATTGCATTGTAAGTCATAGCACGGTAAGACATGTCTGTGCATACCATGTAACGCGGTAGCATCGCTCTTCATAGAAAACATCGTATGAGATGGCTCAGCGTATCATCCCTTCTACTATCGTAGCATTTCACAGCACAGCATGGCATGGCATGCAATGCGCACTGTAGAGTATATCATGTTATTGCATTGTATACTGCATAGTGACATTGTGCTTCATAGCGTAGCATGATGTATCATGGCATTCCGTAGCATAGTGCAACATGGCGTTGTAGCGTTGCATTTTTCTTGGTTCATAGTTTTGCGACAGATCACTGGTCGACCAGTCGATAAGAGCGGGGGATGAGGAGTGAGGAAGGGGCAGGAGGAAACAGAGAATGTTTACCTCATCATCCATGACCGGCTTGTTGTCTCAATGCGATCAGCACTAAGCGCGCGCGAAGCGCGCGCGATGGTTCTAGTTGATGTATAGTTTCCTGCGGCAAGTCTCGCCACCGCGCCAGCCCAGTTCTCTCGGAGGCCAGTGTTCGAGGGGCGACAGGATGCTGTGACATGTGAGTCGAGCGTCGTTGAAGGTACAGTGTGTGTTGACGTTCGGAGCAACGGCCAGATCGCTGTCACATGTCATACCTCGGCCGTTTTGAGTTTGTAGCGGGTGTTTGCTAGCGTCGTCCCCAAACAGTAAAACATTGCACAGTGAATGTGCAAGCTATGTGGTTAAGCTAGGTGCTGCAACTTGCACCGTGCAAGCAATCTTGTGCAATGAACGTGGTGCGAGCTATGTGGTGTAAGCTACGCGGTGCAAGCTATGTGAAGCAACCTACATCGTGTACGTTATGTGGGGCGATACATGGTAGGTGGTGTAGCTAGGTGTGCAACCTTTCTTGTGTAAGCTATATTGCGTGAGCTGTGCGGAGCAAATTGCGTGGTACTAACCACATTGTGTAAGCTGTTTCGGATCAGCTATTTGGTGAACGCTACGCGGTATAAGCTATGTAGTGCAAACTGCGTGGTGGAAGCTAGGTGATGGTAGCTTTGTGATGCAAACTGCGTGGTGTAAACCATGATGTGCCTATGTGTCGTGCATTCGCCTGGCATGTCGCTCACGCTGCGCCCACGAGCGGTCACGGGCGGCGGCGTGGCGAAGCCTTGACACGCTTATCCAGCGCACGGAGCGCCCACGAGGCGCCGACGAGGGTCAAAGGGCGGCGACGCGGCGAACCGTCGGCACACGTACCCTGCACACGACGCGCCCGCGAGGCGCCCGCGGGCGGCAACGGGCGGCGTCGTGGCGAAGCCTCGGCACACCCATCCAGCGATCTCAAGGGCTCCTAAGCGTAAGCCTTGCGTGGAGAATGATGTGAGGTTCCACTTGGGGTGTGACCGGGGGATGCAAGAAGCAATGATGAGGCGGGGGGTGGGGGGGAGGAGGAGGAGGAGGAGGAGGAGGAGGAGGAGGAGGAGGAGGAGGAGGAGGAGGAGGAGGAGGAACAGTCCGTCTCCAGTGGCTCAAAGCTATGCGGGTGAAGCCAAAGTAACTCAGCGAGCCCTTATTAGCGTTGGGATGCCAGTAAGCTGGCTCAGTACCTGAGCCCCAGTGCTTGCTGCAATTCCCACTGTACACACTCCGTTTCCCCGAGGCTGCCACCGCCTCTTGTTTCTCTGCGTGCTCGATGTTTCAAGTTGGGGCTGGTCTTCATCGAGCGCAGAACAAGTACCATGGCATTGCCGCGTGAAGGTTCCAGTGGCGACGTGGGAGTTTCAGGTACTCCCGGCACAGCCAAAACACAGTGAGTGCCAGGTAGTGCCTCCACCACCGAGAGGAACATGTCTGCGGCCGCTCTCAAGGCATACGTCGACCAGGTCCAGATGGACATCATGGAACAGCTCGATGCAGTTCAGAATATCCTCGACGACACTCTCGATGCGTGCTTCTCTTCGCCAGGAGGCCGACAGCAGGTTGGTGCCCATCTACGGGAAGCTCGAGAACCACGACCTCAGGATCAACAGGCGCGAGGCCGACGTCAAGAAGCCCCGCGAGACGCTCATCGTGGCCAAGAGTGAAGTTCATGCCCCTGTCCTTCGACCAGCTGGTGGCCCCACGGGCTTCGACCGTGACGTCGACCCGTGCACAGGAAAGGTGCAGAGTCCAGCAGGCAATCGCCCCCTACGTCCTCCTCAGCCAGGTGGCCCATGGCACAGGTTCTCAGCCCCTGGTGAGGAAGGGGAAAGCCAATGTGGACACATGTCGGAACCAGCTCATGGTCCAGAGGGAAAATGCGTGCAAGGAAGCGAAGCGCGTTCTTGTTTTCCAGTACCCGAACCACATTTTCTACATCGACAGGCCCAATTGACCGATCACCTCGAAGTGCAAGCCTCTAGTTCACATCGTGTAAAACCAGACGAGGGGTGCCCTGTCATCATGTACGCGTCCACGAACCTCGCCGCGGAGCAGATCGACCGTGCTCGCACCGCCCCGCTGTTCGAGAATGCCCGACGCCAGTCGGCAACCGCCCATGAGGGGAGTCGCTAGCAGTGTGAATGTGCCCTGCGAATCCAAAATTCGGTTACCGCATCGCGATTTGGAATGTTGGCACTCATCTCCGTCATGTACGCAACCCTCGGCAAGAACAGCTGCAGTGCCTCGGGAAACTTCTACAGCCAGGTGCTCTGAAGGGTGACGGGCCCCTTTGGGCCCTCGAAGAGCAAAACAAATGCCCCCCACCGTACGAATTCAGAGATTTGTGGCTTCTCTCGGCAGAGTAATCTGGCCTCCCCCTTTCCTTCTCCTCCTCGTTCCACCCTCCGTGCTCTTCCCTCTTCCTCCCGCGTGCATTGTGTGTGTGTGTGTGATGTCAACTTCTGGCTGATCACGCCACTTGGGTACATGCCTTGGG